CGATTGATCCAAGGTATTTGAAGCTGTTGACGGTCTCAAGTTTCTCTCCCCTGACTTTGATGTTTTTGCCATTAGTGTTATTGGTCATTAGTTTGGTTTTCTCGGCACTGATCTCCATGCCGTAGGCCGCTGAGGTTGTGTCCAGCCGCTCCACTAGTTTGGCGAGCTCATGTTCTTCTCCTGCTAATCCACTGATGCCATCGGCAAAACGCAAGTTTGTGATTGTCCTGCCTCCAATATATACTGATTGTTCCATTGTGGGCTTTCAGTGTGTCAGTCATGATTCGTTCTAGGAAGATGTTGAAGAGGGTGGGAGAGAGTAATTTAAACAGCCTTGCCTCAGCCTGACCGTTGTCCTGAACCAATCCCCCATGCTGCCGTTAAGATAGACTGCGCTGGAGGCCTTGCCATATAGTTGTTGTATGACGTTGATCAGGTTGGCGTTGATGTTATATTTCCTCATGGTTGCCCTTAAGACTGCATGCCAGACCCCGTCGAAGGCCTTTTCAAAATCCTCGAAGATAATATAGTATATGTTTTGCTGGTGTTAGAGGTACATTTGTACCTCTCACACAGAATCCTGAGGTTGAAGATCTGTTCTGTTGTGCTGCGCCCTTCTCTAAAGCCTGCCTGCTCTTCGGCAATGATCTTTTCTGCCTGTGGTTTCAATCTGTTCAGCACTATCTTCTACATAACCTTACTGGGGTGGCTTATTAGACTGATGGTGCGGTAATTCTGACATATAGTTGCAGGTTACCTTTCTTGGGGAGTGTATCACTAGTGATTGTGTCCATGGTGTTGGCCATTTTCCTGTCTGCCAGATCTTAAATTGTTGCAGATGACAGTCAGAGCGCTTAGTCCTTTCCCCCTACCTGTATTAATTCTCCTGGGATGTTATCCACTCCTGCTGATTTCCCCCTCTTCGGTGCTTTAACGGCTGCTTCAACTTAATTCTTCTCGAAGGATTGGATGGTTATGTTGGTTGCAGGGGGACGTTTATATAGTACCTTAAAGGGTTTCCCGTGGCTTTGTGGTTGTACAATTCTGAGCAGTATTCTGTCCATCTTTTCAAAATGTCTTGTTCCTCAGTCAGTCATTTTCCTTGTTTGTCTTGAATGGTGGTGGTGTGCCCTTCTTTAGTGCATGTCAGTTTCTTTACTAATTGGTATGCTTTTTTGCTGTTCAGTTTGTCATCAGGCTGCCTTCAATTATTTGGCATTGTTCCTCGATCCAATTTTCTTTTGCCCTTTATTATTATCATACTTTTTGTGATTTTTTGGCTGACTGACTGCTCCGTTTTCTTTTGCCCTTTTCACACTTTTTTTTATTTTCTGGCTGACTGCTCTAATTTTGCCATTTATACAACAACAACAACAACAACAACAAAAAAAAAGAAGTTTCATGCTAGATTCTAGATGCAATGTTTCACATGATCGTCGGTCGTGGTAGGCTGGAAAATAATAAACGATGGTGTGGAATAAA